AGCATGAAATTTTTTTATTCCACAAACTTTAAAATGCAAAATACTGACATAAGAATCCTAAAAGGCTCTCTAGGAAAAAACAGTGAAATAGAGCGAAAAATCCAGAATTAAATCTATATTCAGGCTCTGATAAAAATGGCACTTCAAACTTCTGAGTTTAGCCAGTAAACATCATTGGTACAGCTTTGTTGTGGTGGCTTGAGTTTTTTTCAGACTGGGTCTTACCATGTATCCCAGGCTATCCTCTAACTCATTATATAGTCTAGGCTGGCCTCTGAGCTCTCCATCCTTCTGCCTCAGCCTCCTGAGTGGTGGCATTATCATAGTATACCACCATACTTGACAACTGACTGCCCTTTGGGAAAATAAATATTTTATGCAACACCCTAATAAACATTAAAAATGAAGCCATAATATGTCCTAAAACTACAAAGGCATTAATGGGAGTGCTAAGCACCTTCAAAATAGAGGAGGTTAAGATTTAAAAAGAACAGGATTGCAAATGGCAAAAGTACACAAGTGGACATGAACTATACTGTAAAGTTTTATTCCTAAAAATGGGTGGCATGATTATGGCTGTTCATTGTTTTATTCTTCTCAGCTTTTCATATAAGGTGAATATTTCATAGATAAACAGGATGAATACTACTTATCCATCTTATAATTCTTTATAAAACAAAAGTAAAATATTGTAAAATTATATATATATGTGTTTAAATTACCCAGGAGTAGAGAAAGGTTTCTCAGTCAATGCTCCAAAGACAGAAAGCCATAAAGAAATGAATGATTGATTTAAATACATTAAATTGAAAAGTGTTCTTTCTTTGCTATAAAAAAAAAAACAAATTAAGGGCTGGGGATTTAGCTCAGCGGCACAGCGCCTGCCTGGCAAGCGCAAGGTCGTGAGTTCAATTCTCGGGATTGGAAAAAAAAAAAACAAATTAAATGCCAGGCGTGGTGCTGCACGCCTGTAATCCCAGCACTCAGGAGGCTGAGGCAGAAGGTTGTGAGTTCGTGACCAGTCTGGGCTACAAAGTGAGCTCAACTGAACTGCATAGCCAGACCTTGTCTCAAAAAGACCAAAAAAAAAAAAAAAAAAAAAAAGTTACCAAAAGTAGAGCAAAGTAAAAAAAATACCAAGTAGACAAATCCGGGATATATTTGCAACATTATGTTCATGTGCCATTTAAAAATTTATAAGTATCTTAAGGCTGTCTATATAATAAAAATAAAAGAGACAATTGATGACAAAAGAAATGTAAGTGACCATGCACACAAAATTATTATACCACACTAAAAGTCAATGAAGATAACGTATGACAATGTAAGATTTTTTCATCTATTATATTGGTAAAATCAGTGTTCATAATCTGGGACAAGGGAAATTTCAAACGCAATTGATTTGATTCTAATTTCTCAACCTTTCAGAAGTACGGTTTGTCCAGATAAATACATTGTTCGTTATGAATTTCCACTTCTATAAATGCAGTCTGAGGAGATAATAACGAATGCTCATAGTGGCTTTGCTGATAGAAAAAACAAAACAAAACAAAACAAAACAAAAAATACAAAAACCTGAAAACAATATGACCTCATGATCAAAACAGTGAATTGCTGAACTGAATTAAATCCACAAAAGAAAAAAAAAAAAAAAATCCCATCTTGGCCAGAGCAACACTCAACCTAATACATTAGTGTTTAAAAATATTGAAAAATATTTACTGTCATCCAAATATTTATAACCTACTGTTCAACAAACTAATGTAGCTACAAAGCAGCTAGCAGGGTTTGTTTCGATATGAAAACATGTATGCAAAAATGTATTAGAAAATAAGATGTAAAATCAAAATGTGATATTGTCTTCTTGGGCACTGGATCATGGGTGATTTTTTTAAGTCCAATTATGTCTAATTTCTATAATGATTATCTTTTTAATAAAAAATGTATTATATGGATCCTTTTCCCGCTGCGGACTGGGAAGGCGAGAGCACTGGGCACCGTACGTCCAGTATTTTCCCCTGCAGCAACCTCTAGGAAATCTTAGGCCTCTTTTTCCTCCAAAAGATAATAAACGTCCAAAAAATAAAAACAATAAACCCCATTTGGCCAGAGCCCCGCGCAGCCTGGCCGCAACACCCTCGCCGAGCTCGCGCCCTGGCCATGTTAGAGCCCGCGCCACACGCAGTCACGCGGCGCATGCGCACAGGCTCACGCACGCCCCCTATCGGCGCCTGCTACAACTGCAGAGGGCAGTTTTCAGTCACCTTCTGCAGCCCCGGCCAGCGCTGCACCAGCCGGTGGGACTCCCAGTGCCTTTTGCAGAATCTTCCCGGCCTCGGTTTTTCGTTCATAGTTGTACTCATTGCTGGGGGCGGGAAATAATACCCGCATCCGTCCTTACGTTCCTTTAACTCTTGGCCGCCTCGCAGTTTTTATGAAATTTCACCAAAGACGCATTTTTGTTGGGTTTCTTGGATGTACATCTTTCTCAAAGAAAGTGTAAGTTTTTATTTAAGTGCTGAAAAGTAATCAGTTCCCAGCAGCAGATGCAGGGTTTTTACAAAAACGTAGTTTGCTTTAATAAATTAATGTGCAGGTAACAAGACTGGATTTGTGTTTGGTACTTTGGGGTATGTATTTGTACCCAACATTCAACTAATTTGGATTTTTGGGATTAGTTTTAGATTTTGTATTACAGAACTTAAAAATATTATTGTTTTGTAGTAGGGTGTGGTGGCCCACACCTGTAATTCCACCACCACTCAGGAGACTGAGGCAGGGTCGTGGGAAGTTCAAGGTCAGCCTGGGCCTTCTAGTGTTTAAGGCCTGCCTGAACCACACAGCTAGACCATGTACTTTATATATATATATATATATATATAGTTACTTTTACAAATAAGTTCATGTACTAACTCCCTAGGATGAATGTAGTTACTTTTTCTTTCTTTTTTTTTTATCTTTTTGAGACAAGGTTTCACTATGCAGTTCAGGCTGGCCTTGAACTCACTTCATAGCCTAGGCTGGCCTTGCACTCACAGTGATTCTCCTGCCTCAACCTTCTGAGTGCTGGGATTACAGATGTGCACCACCACACCTGGCTCCACTATGATGAATGTAATCATTATGTACTGCAACTTTGTACTAATAAAAATTTAAAAACTGACATATAGCCAATGTTTCCTGCCTATGCTTTTGCTTTCTATAGAAAACCTAACTTTTAAGGCTGAATGTGGTGGTGCACACCTGTAATCCCAGCACTCAGGAAACTGAGGCAGGAGGATCTCTTTGAATTTGAGGGCAGGCTGGGCTACGAAGTGAGTTCAAGGCCAGTCTGAACTGCACAGTAAAATTCGGTCTCAAAAAGACAACAACACAAGGCAAAACAAAAAAAACACTAACTTTAAAAAATGGTTTGATTTGGGATTAGCACAAGATTTATCACTGTAGATAATTCCAGTTGAAGTTACTGTAACAGATTAATACAATGACAAATTCACGCCGTGGAACAAATACATACCCAAAAATACTAAACAATTTTACATTTGACAATATTTATCATTGGCAGAAATCTAAGAAAGCTGAATTGTTTGTACTTTAACATTTTTTTTTTTTTTTTTTGGTTTTTCTCCGGTACTGGGAACCGAACTCACGACCTTGTGCTTGCGAGGCAGGCGCTTTGCTGCTGAGCTAAATCCCCAGCCCTGTACTTTAACATTTAACTACAGTTTATAATAGCTTTGTGTCTTATACAACACAGGCAGGACCTAATGATGTTTCCTCTTGATGACTGTAATACTTTTATCTGTTTTCAAAGACATTTGTTAATCAGGAGTTTGGAAACTCATCTAAATTTGACAAGAAGCCTGTCTTCAGGAAGAGAACTTATAAATCTTCACTGCATTCTGCTTTGGTGTACATCTGAGAGCTGTTAATTTGTGCATGGCACGGTCTATTTCACTAGGCTAATATACAAAGACTGACAAATTTTCATAGTTTAGTTTTGCCAGAAGTAATATGTACATCATATCATCTTCTGGGTGGCCTATAGGGGTGTCAGATTTTATCCACATCTCATAGTGGCCAGAGAATCGTAACCCAGGACACACAGCTAGTCAGGGCTGGCAGTACAGTGGCAGCCCAGAAAGACCTTGTATTAGCAGACAGGTAGGTGACAGGGCTAGCTCGAGGCAGGCAGCAGGGAAGGAGACCTATAGTACGGGCACTGTGCTGATTCTCACTTGTGTTTACCCACCTTTACATTTAGTATCTACCCACTTTAGCTTGTTTTATTTTATTCCTTCTGACTTCTACATAGTATGACATTATATGATGTATTTTACTTAGAGATTCCCTCAGCAATGGGCATACATGTTGCTTCCAACTAACATAAACAATGTATTATGTCTCACACGACTCTGTCCAATTCTTCAAAGACTATCCAGCACAAAGTAGCAATTGGAGGGGCTGGGGACTTAGCTCAGTGGCAAAAGCGCCTGCCTGGCAAGCGCAAGGTCGTGAGTTCGGTTCCCGGTACCGGAGAAAAACCAAAAAAAAACCAAAAAAAAAAAAAAACAAACAAACAAAGTAGCAATTGGAGTACTAGAAATTAATATTTAACAAATGTTTTTTGAATTGATTTAAGAAGGCTTGAAAAATCAGGCAGTGTTATTTGCAAGTAGTTCAATTTACAAAAGCCCTCTCCAGAGGGAAAAGCTTGTCAAAATCCAATTTGCCAAACCCAGAGTCCCTGAATTACCAAGATGATGAACTGGTGAGCCCTGTTTAAAAAAAAAAAAGTTCTGCTCAACTCGTGCCTCAGCTGGGCAAACCCGGGAACAGAGGCCAAAGCATGAGGACACAAAACGAGGGGTGAGCTGCAAATCCATTTAAGAAAAACCTCACACTGTGTATCAAACAGCTAGAGTAGGTACAAAACTAAACCTCTCCAAAAAAATCTGTGTGACAAACTACCTTTCAAATGCTAGTATCACGCACAGACATTGAAACAAAGCTGGTTTTATTTGATAATAAGTTGTCCAGAAATCACCAAGGGCTGACGTCAGCAGCCCAGCAACATAGAGCCAGCATCTCTGAGATTCTCTGGGCCCAGCCCTCCACTGGGGCTGAAAGGACTACTCCAGCTCCACCCTCATTTCAGTATTTGCGGCAGGAAGGGAGGGAAAGGTAGCTTAGATACATGTATCATTTTCACCCAGGAAAAAGTGTTTTCCCAGAAATCCATCAGCTGTGTCTTCAGGCCACCAGCAGCAGAGGCAAGCTGGAAGGGTGAGCAGATTGCTTTCCAGGTTCTTTAGTGAAGGCAGAGAGAGGTGAAGGGTATCCGGAACAGCTAGCAAGGTGGGCCACCGACATTGTCTTCATATATAATGAATTTCTCTTTCAAAATGGGTAGTTTATATGGAAAGAAATCTCTGATAAATTAAAGACTATAATTTAAAACTCAGTTCTGCTTTCAATTGTGGCATTTTGTACAGTTTCACTGAAACTATAGGACTTTCACATTTTATTTTTTCCTCCTATCATTCTAGAATGGAATTAAAATAAAATTAATCTTTCAAGAAAGAGTGGGGGGAAAAACCAAGAGGCCCAAAGTGACAAAATATGTTCATCCACTCTTCCTCTGTCATTGTCCTTCCACACCAAAGAACATCTGGAAAACATCCCCACATCCTTGGGCGGTTAAGAAGTGATACAGCTGACCAAAGTCCATGTGGTTTCCTCTGCCTCCATTAACACTGAACACTTTTTCCTCAAAAGTGGAAAATTTCTTTTGTGTTTCCATTTCATCATCTGTACCATCAAAAGGAATGTCTTCTCGATGGCGAATTAGAATTCTCTTCCAGTTTAATTTTCGGAGTCTAAAAAGAAATTTTCAAAGTGGGTTGTGTATTCTAAAGCACTGAAAATAGCAGTTACAAAACAGACTCTATAGTGCATGCCTGTAATCACAGCAATTGGGAGGCTGAGGCAGGAGGATCACTGCAAGTTCGAGGCCAGCCTCAGCTACAAAGTGAGCTTGAGGCCAGCCTGAACTGCATAGTGAGACCCTGTCTCAAAAAGACAAAAAACAACAACAACAACAACAGAATCTAACAATGCCTTTTTCTGTAAGTAAAAAGTTTCCTTTTATTTCAGAAGGATTTATTTTAATCAAGTATGAGTCTGGTCATGAACCCACCTTCAGACTCACTTATTGCAATTATTACTGTCTCGTCTGAATATTCTAGAAATGTGAAAATTGATAGTTCTCAAGCTACTCACGTAAATTCTCAGAAAATCACTTAAACTATCAGAAGAGAAATGAGAAGACTAGTGACAAATCTAATGCTTCTAGAAAGTTCCTACTTAACAAAGTGTAGGTTACAACATCAGTAAATGAGGGAAGGATGAGATCCATGGAAACGGATGGGATCTTAGTATCCTGGGCAGGAGTGCATGACTTCAACAAGTACTGAGAGAAGGTCTCCTACGAGCACCATGTCCGGTGAGGGGAGTCATGCGGACTGTATATGTGACTTCTGCCTTACCCACTGACCTGAGACTGAATTCCCATGGGGGTACACCCCGTGGGACACACTTATTTCCATACCTCTAGTACCTTCTTTCATGTTACTGTTATTGACATGATACACAAAATACGTGAAAGCAAACCTTGACCAGAACTCTTCACAGGCACTTTGTGGGCCTTCCACACAAACAACACCAGGCTTCCCAGGCATGCTAAACCCGGACAGGGAAAGCTCTTTGGCCCACTCTAGGATATTCTTTCTCTTCCATTTACTGTAGATGTGATGGCTGTAGATCCAGAGCCTTGTAAGAATGAGATCCACTGGCTGGACTGTGCTTTCTGGGGTCGGGGAAGACAGCACATCTCTGCTGACATAGCCAGAGGCATGTTCTCTCACCCACTCCGCGGCATTCAATATACAGACATCCCCAAGACAATTCTTCTGCAAGTAAGCAGTCAGATCTACGTTCAGCTGAGACTGCTGTGATCTGCTTAGTACCGCTGATCTGATTGAAGGAACAAGAAAAGAATTTAAGTCAATTTTCTTGGAAGATAAAACAAACTCACAATTGCTTTTGTTCGGTGACTAATTTTGGGCCCTGAAATTGGTCTGAATTTCTGTAACATACCTGACAGTAATTTCAGGCAGGACTTCAGGATATTTAAAGGGAAGAATGCAGGCCAGAGAAAATGCCACCTGATTTTAAAAAAGAGGCAGAAGGTAAACAAAAGAAAGATGTTACAAGAGCTGTTTCAAGTCCTGATGTGTGTTAAGTCTTGCGAAAACAAAACTGAGTTACCATCACTTCCTCAGATATGTGCAGGTTCAGATTGATAGTAAAGTAGACTTTTGAAGATCGCCCCTCCATTGTCTTCTTCTCAATACCATCTTTCAGCTCTGCTAAGGCCAGCTGGTCATTGACTACGAGCTCACTTTCACCGGGGAACATACTGGCCAGCAGGTCTAACTCCGAGAGCTGGGCCTCAGCCTGCTCTACTGTAGTCATTTTTGGACATCTGTAAGTTTCTAAAGAGGTAAGGGTAAGAGAAACAATTTATATGCACAATCTTGGGAGAACTCAATAGGTCAACATGGGTACTTAGTAAAAGGGCATTTGATTTCTTCATAAAAATGCATAATTTAGCCAGGTATGGTGGTGCATGCCTGTAATCCCAGCACTCAGGAGGCTGAGATAGAAGGATTGCTGTGTTTGAGGCCAGCCTGGGATACATACATAGCTGGTTTGAACTACATGGGGAAACCCTGTCTCAAAAAGAAAGAAAGAAAATTTAATTAGGTTCTTTTTATCCTGTATTTTATTTTCAGATCTAATATGCTAAGGACCAAAAATATGGGAGAATCCAATGAAAGACCTAACACACTAAATTACTCTGTATCTAGATAGCTCACCTGCCAGGGATGTAGCTCAGTAGCATAAGTACCTGCCTGGTAAGTGCAAGGTTCCGAGTTTGATTCCTGGTACCAAAAAAAAAAAAAAGTTAAACCAAAAAAATAAAAACAATAGATAGCTCATCTGACATTTTCACCTACCACAATGAACAATTTCATTGAAATAAAAGAATTAGGTGCTCAAAGAGCTATTGGGCACCAGTTCCAGCGCCCCTGAAGAACAAGAAGAGATAGAGGCTACAGGGCATCTTCACTCTACCTTCCCTGCTTTCGCGGGACTCTGACAATGACTTTGTAGGCGGCCCTTGGTCCCTGGCTTCAGCAGTCCTTGTGGGCCTAGGGATAGTAGGTTTGAGTTTGGTCTCCTCTCTGAAAAGAGCCCCTTTATTAAACAGTCTCTTCAAAGTTCCAAAGCTGAGTATGTGTCTGTTTCTTGCCAGTCCATGCCTCCTCCTACCTCGACTCTGCCTTCAACATTGATCAACCCTCCCTGCACATTGTCAGCACAATCACACCAGCAGAGGCAGGCACTCAAGGAGCTGGCAGCTGGGCAGGGGTGTAGCTGGCTGGGAAGGAGGAGCGGGAGGATGTCAGATTTCCATAAGGAAGGCAAGTGGACTTTTTAATAGCTACTCAGTGGAGTCACTTTATCCGATGTGCTAGTTTTACATACTCATCAGCACAAAATTCCAGCACTTGGAGAACGGAGCTATCATCAAGCTTTTTTTTTTTTTTTTTTTTTTTTTTGTCTTTTTGAGACAGAGTCTCGCTATGCAGGTCAGGCTGGCCTTGAGCTCACTTTACAGCCCAGGCTGCTCTCGAACTCGCAATGATCCTCCTGCCTCAGCCCCCGAGTGCTGGGATTACAGGTGTGTGCCACCACGCCCAGCACCATCAAGCTCTTTAGAAGCATGTCTTTCCCTTCATTCAGCCCTACTTGGTTTCATCCAATATAGTTAAATCATTTCTTTAAAACAGGAAATGGTACTGTCTAATGATTTAGCCAGTTTGCTTGTGAAACTTTAAAAGATTGTTTTTGAAACAGGGTATCACTATGTAGCCCAGGCTGCCAGGCTGACCTTGAACGCAAGATCCTCCTGCTTCAGCCTCCTCAGTGGTGGGATTCAAGCATATGCTACCATTCACAGCTTTTTAAATTCTTATTTTTTCAGTACTAGGGGTTGAATGCAGGGCTTCAGAATCATTTTTAATTTTTATTTTGAGATGGAATCTTGCTAAGTCACTAAGTTGCCCAGGCTGGCTTTAAATTTATCATCCTCCTGCCTTGGCCTCTTGAGAAGCTGAGATTACAGGTATGTTCTAATACACCTGACTTGTCATATGGTACTTTTAAAGAGCAAAAAAAAAAAAAAGTTACTTTACTCAGAATGAAATTTAAATTACTTATATAAGACAGTAAGTGTGGTGGATTAGGTTAAAAAGACATTAAGCTGAATTATGGGAGTGACTAAATGTAGGTCTTTTATTCATTAGGATTAACTGCCTGAAAATCGGGAAAAGAAGAATCGCTCTTGCACACACTGGACTGTCTCTGAAGATTAGGATATAAATCAGTGTCCACACATCATTCCTAACCCCAGTGTGCCTTTAACTCTTGTCCTTAAGACACCTTTTAGTAGGTTGTCAGTGCTATGGTGAGGAAAATATTATGGAAGGCATTTGGTGCTTAAGTAGGCTGTGGAAATGCTCAGTTGTAGGGGATGATGACTCTTAGCACATCATCTGAAGACAGAATAATTCTAGTCTTAATGCAAGCCTCAAAATGTGTCTTGAGAAACATCCGGAGGGTTGTAAAGAGTTAACTTTGCAGTCCTGACTTAGCCCTGGAATGCTTCTCCAAAGACAAAGAACACCAGGGCCCAGATAACCACCTATGACCCTGCCTGGGATGTTTCATCCCTTCCCTGGCCCTAGATAAACATTGTAACCATAAAGGAAATGTATGGTTATCTAAAGGGGGACATATAGAACAGAGTACAGAAAGTATATATCATTGTGGTTGGGCTCATGACTGGAGCCTGACCCGGTTAGGTGGCACAAGGAAAACAATGTGTGGCCAGGGCTACAACATTCCAATCTGTTACCATGGAAACCAAAAATGTATATAAGCTGGGAACAAAGGCAAGTCCACGCCCACTTCCCTGACTTGCAAGTCGGGATGAGAGGTGACCGGTCTAAATTAAAACTTTGTCTGTTCTCTTTGGTCCTTTGCGGAATACAGCCTGAATATAACACAGTGATATAAAACAAAGCTTTACAGGTTTCTTTAGGGTGACCAGACATACTGGTTAAGTGGGCACAAGAGATATAGATAGATAGACAGATGGATTTTTTTTTTTTTTGGAGACAGTCTATCTAGTTCAGGCTGGCCTTGCACTATGTAGCCCAGGTTGGCTTCAAACTTGGGGTGGACATATAGAACAGAGTACAGCTCGCGGGCCCAATCTTGGGGTGATTCTCTTGCCTTGGCCTCCCAAGTGCTGATGGTGCAGGGATGTACCATCCTGTCCGGTTGGTGGCCACGGTATTCATGGCTATTGTCCTAACTGGGCTACTATGGGCACGCTTTTATATATGTGCCTTCTCGGAATCTTTACTGTTAGATTCCAATGTGCTCTGTGAAGTTCTAAGAGGGAGGTTGATGTCTACCCCAAACCTATCTGATACACAAACATTTATTCCCAGGCCAGTTGATATTAGCTCTCCTCTCCACAGAACAGATCAGGGTTCCCAGCTTTGCCACTTGGCAGAACTTCAGTAGTTTAAATATTACCATGGTTACGCTCCATGTTCATCTGAATAACTCTGAGAGCACCAAATACCACTCCTTCCTTTAACCACAATGTTTTCTTTAGTAACCAGTAATTTCATACCCTACTATTTTTACTTGGTATTGCAACTTAAGCTCACATATACAAAAAACCCTCACAAATATTTAAAATTGCTGGACTTTCTGGAATTTCATAAATACTTTCTGTAGTCTTTTTCAGAGCATAGGAATCTAGGAAACAATTTATTAGGTGGTTATTAGAGAAAGTTAACTTACTTTTTTAAATTTCAGTGGTTTAAAGTATGGAATTTTTCATCATATCACCAACGTGCAACTCCTGGCTCTGCCACTTACCAACTGTGTGAACTTTGACAAGTGGCTTAATTTATCAAAACCTCAGTTTTCCCATTTCCAAAATGGGAATAAAAGTGGCTGTGAGGATTAAATGAGAGTGTGTGGAAAGTACGTAGAAGAACGGCAACATAGGAAGAGTTATAGGAATGCCTGCTATTGTTATTATTGGTCATTTATTCAATAAATGTTCCTTAAACACCTCTTATATGGTAAGCCCTGTGCCTGGCCCTAAGAATATAATGATGAATAAAACTGTACAAAAACTCTCTGCTGTCACAGAGGTTTAATCTAGTGGAAGGAAACCGTAACACCTAAAAAAAAAATGTAGCTGGATGTGGTGGCACACTGCTGTAATCCCAGCACTTGGGAGGCTGAGGCAGGAGGACTGCTGTGAGTTCAAGGCCACCCTGGGCTACATAGTGTGTTCAAAGCCAGCCTGACCTATATAGTGAAACTTGTCTCAAGAAAACAAAAATGTTTTAAAAACCTAATATATATGCCCAATGAATAATTTAAGAAGACAGATGAATAGGGCATGGCAAAACACCTGTAACCCCAGTACTCTGGGGAGGTGAGGCAGAAAGAAGGATTGCAAGTTTGAGTCTAGACTGGGCAACTTACTGATTTAGCAAGACCCTACCTCAAAAAAAAAAAAAAAAAAAAAAAAAAGAAAGAAATTAGAATGTTTTTAAAAAGACAACTTAGGATGATAATGAGGATGTGGGGGTAGAAGAGATTTTCCTGACAAGGCTGTCAGGAGAAGGAATGTGTAGAAGAGATTCAGAGGAACTGAAAAGGAAGCCAGGAACTGACCTAGGCAGTGTTCCAGAAAAAGCAAAGAGCAAGTTCAAACGCTGGGAGAAAGAGGGCCCTGGGCCAGATGGCTGGAGCAGTGTGACTGGGGACAGAGTAAAGAGGAGGTTGGTGAGGAAATACGAGGTAGTGTATGAAAAATCCATGCCTACTATTATTACTACAGAGAACAGCACTGGAGAAAACAGGGAGTGCAGAGAAATACTGCAGGGACCTGGGTAGACATGATCGTGGCTTGGGTTCAGGCAGTGATGGTGGATTCGAATGGCAGCGGTAAAGGCAGTGTGACGTTAGGTTCTGGCCATAGGAGAACGTAGAGCCAACACGACTTACTCATAAACTACACGAAGAGGGTAAGACAGACTCCAAGGGTTAAGCTACTGCAAGGACCCACGGAGTGAGTGAAATTGGAAGAGACTTCCAAGTCAATTAAAGGTCTGGAGGATGAATTGGAACACAGGACACTGGGACCTACACACGGACAGCTAGAAGAGAAACGTCACAACTGAGTCAGTTACTTGCCAAATTATTTTCATTGATGGTATTAGTCCCCCACAAAAAAAACCCTTCAAGAGAATTTCCGGATTCAAGATTACAGTTATTGCTGTAAAACTTTAGTTTCCTGAGAGGAGTCATATCTCCTCGCAGCTATTTTCTATTTCTTTCTTACTTTTTTTTTTTTTTTAATAACACCAAGACCAGCTCCTGACTGCCTGAGGAGCGACGCTCTCCAAAAGGTGCCCTACACGTAGGCGCAGTCACATCTGACACCTGATTGGGCCCGCGAGCGTCTGTAGGAGGGGCTAGGAAACGCCAACGCAGTTTTGACCAATGAGCGGACGGCAGCGCAAAGGAAGGCGGTACCATCTGGCGGCCACGTCCCGGATGATGGTATTGGACCCTCTTCGGGGCGTAGACTCCCAGTCCCACTTAGCACTGGTGTCTATGGAAAACTCACCTATCGCCGTGGGTGCCTCACTGCCGTTACCCTGGGCTTCCTGGATACACGCAAAGCTCTTGAGATAAAATTCTAGGGCCTGGGATTCCAAGCTTATAAACCATTCCCCTAGGGCGGCCTTAAGGAGAGTGATCGGGCTGTTCCCGCTGGCGCATGCGCGCAAGTCCCGGAAGCCGGAAGTGAACTAACCTGTTGGTTGGCGGACTCTCTGCTGTGTTTTCCTGAGGCTTTCAACGCTAGGGTTCGTTTAGTCGCTCAGTGCGGCTCAGTCGCAATGTTTATTCTCACATGTTACCTTCCCAACCAACATCATTGTCCTTTCCCTGCTGCTTCTCCTGTTGGAGGCACTGTGTAGTGGGTAGCGGGGGAAGGCGAGCATGCTTTCAGATAGGTAGGAAGGTGGTATTGGGGAGAAGGCTAACCCAAATTTTGCATTTTTAACTTTGCCCCACACGTGGTTATTCTCCTTGGGCCTCAACCACAGCGTAGTAAGGCATTAGGGATGTGTGAGCGTGGACAGACGTTGGTTTTGGAGACCTCAGGTGTTGTTGCCCAATGACCAAGCTGAGAGGAACCATGTGAATGCACAGATTTATTCCTGTTAATTAAAGGACATTTTGAAGTAGACATTAACAGGAGACTAACTAGAAATATTTTTCTTCTCAGTTGATTTACATACAGTACATTTTTGTTTGAGACAGGGTCTCGCTATGTAGTTCAGGTCTGCCCAAGCTGGGCCTCGAATTTGCAAGGATCCTCCTTCAGCATCTCTGGTGCTGGGATGGCAGCATGTCCCACCACGCCTGCCTAGATGGTGGTAGTTTTGTCTAATCTAGAACTTCATGTTAGAATCATTCAGTATTAGGTATTGTGTCAGACTTTCAGTATATCATTAGACTCATCCATATTCTTGTGTTTGTCAGTATTTTTTTGATTGCTTAGTTGTTTTTCATATGTGATAGTTAATGGATTTTTGTCAATTTGAGTAAGAAACACCCAACTAGATTGGATCAGCATTGTTCTGGGTGTAGAAGAGTTACCCTAGGCGGGATTGTTGCCAGACTGATATAAACGGATTGGTTCTGTTCTTTCGGAGAAGGTCCAGTCTTTGCCTTGGGTGTTGTCTCCTGGCTTCCATCACAGACCCCTCAGCCTTCTGGCGTAGACCGTTCTGCTCCTGATAGAGACTCACACTGGCCACTACAGTGAGTTCCAGGCCTTCAACTGGATCCTTCAGATCTCCAGCTCACAGGCAGATCTGCACTCTTCCACACCTCACTCTGTGGTTGGCTACTATAAGCCAATCTTCTAAATTCTTGTAGAGTTTACATTTAACTATTTTTCTAGTAAGCACTGATTGATACACCATGATAAAAATTTGTAATACTAGTTTTTCCATTCTTGATGGAAACCTAGGCTGTTTAGAGTTTGTCTTTTATGAACATTCTTGCATAGCATTTCATTTCTAATGACCATATATTTTCAGTATGTATTAAACACCATGTTTCAGTCACTTCTAGATACTAAAATTATGACACAAACTAAACAAAAATGTTCCATATCACAGAAAGCTTGTATTTGTTTACATGTTTCTGTATATGCTTGGAATACACCTATGTAGGTAAAAATGAAGGCGATACCAGGTAATGACAGTTCCTGGGAAGAGATATAAAATGTGAGTGAATCAGTATTCATGTTACCTAGGTTGCTCAGTCAATATGGTGGGATACTAATTTTTTTATCTTTTTGAGATAGGGTCTCGCTGTGTAGTTCAGGCCGGCCTTCAGCTCACTTTGTAGCCCAGGCTGCCCTCAAACTTGCAATGATCCTCCTGCCTTAGTCTCCAAGTGCTGGGATTATAGGAGTGTGCCACCACATCCAGCTGAGATACTGATTTTTAAGGAGTTAATGGAATAACAATTTTCCAACTACAGAAGATCAAGGGACATTCTGAGTAGAGGAAACAGGTAGTATAATGGGCCTAAAGTTTTTCCTGTGCGAGGTATAGCATGTGAGAGACAGCTGTGGGTGCTAAAAAGAATTCACTAATCGTCAAGGAATATAGAGAAGTTAAGAGTTTATTAATACACTGCAAGAGAGCAAAGTGAGTCCAAGAGAGGACTGTACCATCAGGGCGACAGGCTATTTTCATATTTGATTTTAATGTGTGTGTGTGGGAGGTCTGGAACCATTCCAGGAATGATTTCATCAGGTCATGGTGGTTCTGTTGTCCATTCATTGCACTTTAAGGATATTCAGGTGTTGTTTGAAGACTGACTGCAGTGTTCCTGATTGACAGGGCCAAGTGCCCTTGGCATTGCTAGGAATAACCCTTCCTAGTTAAATTAATTAACAAATATGTGAAGACTGACTAGTGTTAGTGGCCAGGGGATCAGAATAAAGTATGTGCGTTTGTAATTGAAAGGGACTTTTGATGTTATATTTGGATAGGGGAAGAATTTTTTTTTTTTTTTTTGAGACAGGTTCTCACTATGTTGCTCAGGCTGGACTCGAGGTCACTACATAGCCCAGGCTGGTCTCAAACTCCTGGTGATCTCTGTCCCTCAGCTTTTTCTTTTTTTTTTTTTTTTTCGTCTTTTTGAGACAGGGTCTCACTATGCAGTTCAGGCTGGTCTTGAACTCACTTTGTGAGCCCACTCTGGCCTAGAACTCACAATGATTCTCCAGCCTCAGCCTCCGGAGTGCTAGGATTATAGGCGTGCGCCACCATGCCTGGCTCCCTCAGCTTCTTCTTCTTTTTTTTTTTTTTTCCTTGTTGTTTTGTTTTTCTTCCGGTACCAGGAATCAAACTCACAACCTTGCGCTTGCCAGGCAGGCGCTTTGCCACTGAGCTAAATCCCCAGCCCTTCCCTCAGCTTCTTAAATGCTGGGATTACAGGTGTTTGCCCAGCTAGATATAATATTCTTTAAAATATGACAAACAGCTGGATGTGTGGGTATTTTCAGCTTACAGGGTGGAAAGTTAAAAGTTCTTTTACAGACTCATCTCTGTTGCAATGTGGCCTTATGGTAAAATAACAATTCTGTTTTAGAATGAGGGGAGATTGACAGTGGGGAGGCTGGGATGATACATTTTCTGTGGTATTTAACCAAACATTACTCTGGGCAATTGGCAGGTTAGTGTGTCTGTATCTTTCCTTTTATGTGATTACTGATAAGATTATATCTTCATTTATTTTATGACCAGCTTTTCTTGTGAATTACCTGTTTACATCTACTGACATCCACTTATTTTTGTTGTTGTTGGTGGTCTTTTTGAGACAGGGTTTCACTATGCAGTTCACGCTGGCCTTGAGCTCACTCTGCAGCCCAGGCTGGTATGGAACTCGTTAACGATCCTCCTGCCTCAGCCTCCAGACTGCTGCGATGACAGGCGTGTGCCATCACGCCCGGCTTTAATTTTCAACTATGGTCTTCTCTGTCTAGATTCAACTAACACTGAGCTACATCCCTAGCCCTTGACATTTTCTGAGTTAGGGTCTTGCTAACTGCCCAAACCGCGCTTGAATTTGCGATCCTCCTGTCTCAGCCTGTGGAATAGATGGAATTACCGGCCGGTGCCACCGCGTCGCACTCCATAATCTCTCTTTAATACCGTCTCTCAGTTCTGTTTTCAAATTCACTCTCGTGGCTTTACCTTTTTTATTCCGATTTGGTGCAAGGTTAAAAATAGCTTATTTGTGTGTACTGGGCAGAATTAAGGTAAGAAATTAAAAATATTCCTCTCGTAACCACATGTAACAAGTAATATTTAAGAAAGATAACCACCCAGACAACTCCCACTTAAACCACTACCACGTACCCACGCTTCTGTGCGATTTAAACAATCACGTGCTTACACTCATCTGCAAACCGTTACTCGGCATAAACGCCTCGGAATCGCTGACTCAGAACTTCCGGCGCGGATTGCGCGCAGGCGCAGATTAACCAGCACCTAGCCTCAGGACCTAGGCCGAGTCACTTCCCATAATGCCGCGTTTCCGGAAGTTGCTGCTTTCCACGGTCACTGTGGATTCGGCTTTGTCGCTGTCTGTACCACAGTAGGAGGAAGACAGAGCTGGCTACGCAGCCCAAAGGTCTATTTAGGGGATGCAGTTATGGCGCTGTCGCCGTGGGTGAGTCCTGTTCCCACTGACTCGCAGTCGCCACTCGCTTAACTTCCTGCTTTCGGAGAGCCCGAAATTTCTGCCCCAAACTTGTTCTTTTCTGGAAGGCCTGTCTCTTTTAAGCGTGTTGCCCTCTCACCCGGTACTACGTTCTCGTTGGCTGCTTGTCCTGTCAGTTTCAGGAGCTGGCCAATGAGTTGCTGGTGCTGGCATCCTGTTCGACCCGTGGATCCAGAGGTTCCCCCCGACCCGCTTGGGTGCCCATCTGCTGGAAGGGAATGGAAGGAAAGGGAGGAAGGGGCGGGAAGTATGGTGTGGCAGGCCTCAGGAGTGTAGGTGGGTGGCTGGCCTGACAGAGTGCCCTGTGCCTTGCGCTGCGCTCGCAGCTGCGTCCATGTGGTTAGTGGGAAAATTAAGATGTCATCTATCCGACTGAATGCTCCGAGGGCCTCTCCAATATATGCAAACGTGACAACCACGTTTAAGAAGGATGTGTTCATAATGTTTTCCACACACTTTCATTTGTAATGGAACCAAGAATCAGGTATAGACAGGGAGAGCAGAGAAAGAATGGAATGGAATTAGCATGAGTGCTGGCAGGACCAGCTCTGATTTAAATTTTGCGTGGAGTCCTGCAAAGAGTCATTTGACTAGGATGCAAATTCTTACCCAAAGATTCACCTGAGAAATCTAATAGATACGTTAGTGTTTTATTGCTGATGACACAGTACTTTATTTTGTGACTCATTAGTTGCCTGTATAGCTGTCACATTTACTGGACCTCTTTCCCCAGGATTTAAATGATCCCTTTTGTCTTCTGCCTGCAGCAATTACAATTCGCCTTTCAAGTTTTCCTTTGGAGTTTGAGTTACTGCAATCTCAAACCAGATTTACTAGTGTTGTCTTCAGTACTGCAGACTTCTGACTTCATTCTTCACCTTTTTCTTTTTCACCAGAACTTGTTTACTCCATTCCTATGTACCTACCTTTGCACCTTGTAATCATCTTTTTATACTCCAGGTACTATTCTATTTTTCTACTTCACTGCAAGTATTTTCTGAGAATGTACTATTTACTATTTACTATGCTAAATGGCATAGGTAATTCAGAAATGTTTGCCGTGAAACATTTCTTTCTCCTAGATATTAAGGTTGCAGACAGAAAAATAACATACATTCAGATTAAAGAGTTAAGAACCAGTCCCCCATTGTATCTCACAAAGGGAGAAGATAAATACTGCATACTATAAACACTAGGAAAGTGCAGTAGAGAATTTTATTGAGTGAAGGGTAAGGTTTCATTGAAATGCAGAACTTGGAGAGGATTGGTAAGATTTGGACAGATGGAGAAAACATCTCCTAAAAATCAAGGGCACTGAATGGGATCAAGCTCTTTTGATAAAGAGCAGTGGTGGTGAACCTATGGCATGGATGTTCTTTGTTTTTTCTTTTAAGACAGAACATTTTAATGTATGAGTTGTTTTTTCTAAATAAAACCTCGGTGTTCAGGTTTAATTCAGGTTTAATTGCAGTGTAGTCACTTTGTAATGTATTTAATGGGTTTTGGGTTGCAGAGAGCACTCATCTCTAAAAGGTTTGCCATCAGTCGCATAGAAGATACCGAAGAGATAGATTTTTATTGGAAGGGAAAGAATGGTAGTCTTGGAATCCAGAGAATGCATTTTCCTTACATCAGAGATCACCCTGTGATCTTTTACATTTTGTTTTTGAGTTTCTTTAGTGAAACTAAAAGAGTTAAGCCATTTAAAGAGTTTTGAGAGGATCAGATGTGATAATGTTTGTGGAAAGGCTTTGAAGATCAAAAGTATTGTTTAATTAAATTTTAATA